TCCCGATAAAGCACACCAAACGGCGGCAAGCTACGCTTGCCAGCCACGCCCTCGCCACCTCAGTCGCACGCTGGCACGAGCGCTGGCCGCTCCCCACGCTGGCGGGTCCTCTCAAAGGACAGAGCTGCGTTGGCCATCGCGGCGATCTCGGCGTCGGAGGGCATCTCGAACTGCCTCGCGGCTTCAGCCGCTGCGCACTCAGGCTTGTCCTTGGCCTTCGACAGGAGCTGTGCCTGGATCGCGATCGCGCCAGCGCAGCCAGCCAGCATGAGAGTGGACTCGCCCAAGATTTTGGAGAACATCCCTACGGCGCGGCCAACGGTCAGGGCGGTCAGTACTGCTACTGGTTGCGCTGCAGGGCGATCGAGCCGAGCAGTGGCGGTGTGGCGGTGTGCGCGGGGGCGGTCGTTGTGACGTCGTTCTGGGGTGCGGGCGAGGGCGGCAGGCACGCTTGCCTGGAATCAATTTGCAAGCGCGTACAATCGACGGTTTTTGACTGTTGACGGGCGTTGTCAACGCCAAACTTCTCCCCCAGAGCATCTCTAGATTCCCCTCATTAGCCCGACACCAAAAGAATTTTACAATTGAGATGTGTCGCAAGTTGGTCTGACTGACTGTCTCCTAACAAACACAGTACTGACCGACTGACTGAGTTATTACATATTAATTAGCGTTTGGTGTCCAGTCGCTGGCCAGACCGGTTTTCACCTCTCTGCCTAGCGAGCCCACCCACCTACCTGCCATGCCCAAACCCACCGCAACCTAGACCGCAACGACCAACGTCACAAAACAATCTCTCTCCCAACGTCCAACGAGTGGGAGAGAGAGAGAGAGAGAGAGAGAGAGAGAGAGAGAGAGAGAGAGAGAGAGAGAGAGAGAGAGAGAGAGAGAGAGAGAGACGAGTGGTACGACGAACGCACGAACCCATCAATCAAATCAAAGTTCTCTCGACATGCATGCACATGCACATGTGGACATGTACATGCATGTTGTTGTGCATGTGCATGTGCATGTTGTGCATGTGCATGTTGTGTATGTAGGAAGGTGAAGAACAGTCAGGCTCG